ATATCTACAAATATTTTGATGAAAAATATAACTGCTGGTACCTGGGAAATGTTAGTTGATTCTCTTTTGTGCCCTGCTTTGCGGGCGTTTTTTTTCTTCTTGTTTTGCTGGATAGAAACGCTACCGTGGGGCGCTACAAAACCGAAAGCGATCTTTGCATACTTCCGGGTTCAAAATCTCGCCGAAGACGGCATAGATATTCTTAGTAATATATATTTTCCCGAAAGATTCTTTCGATTATGCATTTCTTCACTAGAGTATCGATGTGTAGTCGTGGAAATAGCGTATTAGCGCTTATTTCCGAACAAAGAAAATTGTTTACACGTGCGTCAGATCGATCGTCAGCTATACCGCCGGCAGTCTCGCGCGGTGCACGAAACAAATTTTTGCGCCGCGTTTTAGGATATAAATGCCGGAACACGAACTTTTATTATTTTAAATATACACTTTACAAATTCTTCTTTGAAAAATAGCCAAGGAGAAATCGCGAATCTAAAAATACCGCGGATTGTTAATTTTCCCGAAACCGCGAACTTTAGGCCCCGCGAATCTAAAGAGACTTACAGTACTTGACTAAAATCTCTACTCTTAAAACGGACAGTAGGCCGGTTTAACAGTATGAAAAGTAAGTCGAAATGTAAACACACACATTGTTCTTCACACATCAACAATGCACTGTGACCTGCAACAAAGTGCGACATGGCCTTGGACATAGAAAACAAAATCATAGTTGACACTTACCAAGATGCACTGCACGATGTTTTCCCGACGACACAGATCCTCACGGCTGCAGAGTCAGTACTGACAGAAACAGAGCAGTCAGGGACGCGTTTATATAGGGACTGAGTGGGTGGATAAAACCGGTCCGGTAGGTTTTACTTGATAACGAGACAAAGAAAATTATGTGCCGATTTACATAGGGGGTGGAATCAGACTATATCATTAGACAAAAAGACAATCAATTGGACAATAACGATAAAGACAACACATTTTTATTTATTGTTGAAACTGAGATCAAAGGGATGATTTTTCTGCATACAATGGGAACTGTTTCGTTGGACAGGCTTTTATTTAATAGGGACTGAGTGGGTGGATAAAACCGGTCCGGTGGGTTGATTACACAACAAAGGAAAGCACCGTGCTTATTTGCATACTAGAAAACTGATCAGACATCATTCGTAGTAAAAAAGAGACCGCCATATTTCACATGATCTCACATGACTGATAATGTACGCCACTACTAATGATAGCGATTGAGAGAAACAAACATATTGCCTCTTTGAATGTATCGTTGAAACTGAGATTGAGAAAGTTGACAAATATCTAAATACTCCAGTTGCATTTTACCGACTAGCTCTTGTTCAAATCAAGGACATTATACTGTATAAGTAATGTCCTTGTTCTATATCAAGGACATTTGCTCGTACCACGCGATTCACGACCGATTTGAAGTACCTGGTACCGCGACAGCGAGTGTAGGTGGTCAACAAAGGTCTTACCTACGTCGATGAAGGTTAGACATCCAGGTAATACGATATGCCAAAAAATAGTTACTCAAGCAACTGGATATGATTTTGAAAACGTCAGACGTTTCAGCTAGTATCCACTAGCTTTCGTCAGTGACTGAGAGACCAGAGGGGAAGGAGGTTTATATACACAACCTGTTGATTGATATGCAAATAAAGTGAAGACAAATTTTTTGGAAGTCGAAAAAGGAACAAAAGTCAGACAAGTCAAGACAAGATGATGCAAATTAGTCTGAAAGCTCCTGTTATACAGGACAGGAGCTTAAGTGTTGTCTGTCCTCGGGGCTGGGAGTGCCAAATCCCAAGTGCCGGAAAGATCGACTTCTTCCTGCAGACAAGGGCAGATGCACAGTAGTCTTAGACAGGGAGCAGTACGACAGGAAGGTACAGGACCTATTGGGAGACAAAGACACCTACACGCCCTTGAAAAAGGACCCCACTAACAAGTTTAAAGGGAAAATCAGTTCAGCTCTCAAGAAATTGCAAACTGAAGGAGTTCTGGATCGCCCCACCTACCTAAAACTCAATCCCACAACGGAACAACCCCCTGCTTCTTCGGCCTTCCCAAAATCCACAAACAAAGTGTCCCTCTACGACCCATAGTCTCCAGTATAGGCTCTGTCACCTATGAGTTAGCAGGTTTTCTAGCCAAGATTTTAGGACCACTAGTGGGGAAATCTCAGCACCATGTACAGAATAGTGCCGACTTTGTCAACAAAATCAAAGACATTCATGTAGAGGATGATGAAACCATCACTTCGTATGACGTGAGCTCACTTTTCACCTCCATACCACCCAAGGAAGCAGTGTCAGTAGTCAAGGAAGCCTTGGAAGCCGATGATACACTTGCAGATAGAACCAACCTATCCGTTGACCAAGTTTGTGAGCTACTAGAACTCTGCTTAGGATGCACATACTTTACCTACAAAGGACAGTTCTACCAACAAATGCACGGCTGTGCTATGGGATCACCAGTCTCACCAATTGTTGTAAACCTGTACATGGAGAAGTTTGAAACCAAAGCCCTCAGCACTTTCAATGACACTCCCCCGGCCAACTGGTTTCGATATGTAGATGACACTTGGTGCAGATTGAAAAAGAGGGTAGCTGCTGACTTCTTTGACCACATCAACCAGATAGATGACAACATCAAGTTCACACAGGAGCCAAGCCATGATAACATGCTCCCTTTCCTAGACACCAAAACTATCGTAGAGGAAGATGGTAACCTTCGTTTCGAAGTGTACAGGAAACCAACCCATACTGATCAGTACCTGGCTTTTGATTCCCACCACCCTTTGGAACACAAACTAGCAGTGATCAAAACTCTCTTCCATCGTGCAGACAACATTGTCACTTCAGACCAAGCCAAAACGGACGAACAAAGACACCTCCGAGGTGCCCTGGCTAAATGTGGCTACCAAAACTGGACTTTCAACAAAGCGCTCAAACCTTCAGATCAGTCTAAGAAAACCCAGAAGTGCAAACCATTGACCAACAAAAACAAGGCCAACATCACTATTCCGTATGTAGAAGGAGTATCTGAGAAACTCCGACGGATCTTCCAAAACTTCAACATAGCCACTAACTTCAAACCTCACTCAACCCTCAGACAAAGACTGGTACACCCTAAGGACCGACCTCACAAGGGTACCAAGGCGAATGTTATTTACAGACTCAAATGTGAGGAGCCCAATTGTAACAACACCTACATTGGAGAGACAAGTCGACCGCTTAAAGTAAGGTACAAAGAACATTGCCGACCTAGTGCCAACGGCTACTCCTCAGCTATTTTCCACCACCTACAACACAACCAGAGTCACTCTTTCAAACTCGAGTCCACGGATGTCTTAGACCGCGAAACACGCTGGTGGGAACGGGGTGTTGAAGAGGCAATTTATGAAAGAATGTACAACCCCACCCTCAACAGGGAAGGGGGGCTACGGGTCGATCTTTCCGGCACTTGGGATTTGGCACTCCCAGCCCCGAGGACAGACAACACTTAAGCTCCTGTCCTGTATAACAGGAGCTTTCAGACTAATTTGCATCATCTTGTCTTGACTTGTCTGACTTTTGTTCCTTTTTCGACTTCCAAAAAATTTGTCTTCACTTTATTTGCATATCAATCAACAGGTTGTGTATATAAACCTCCTTCCCCTCTGGTCTCTCAGTCACTGACGAAAGCTAGTGGATACTAGCTGAAACGTCTGACGTTTTCAAAATCATATCCAGTTGCTTGAGTAACTATTTTTTGGCATAAAGGTCTTACCTGTCTTTCAAAACTGCCCAGAGTTGATACAGAGCCGAAGTAAGGCGGAAATCGCCTCAGATTGGAGAGAAATAAAAAGACACCACACGCACGGCTCAAAAATGGCGGTTCAGGTCAGACCTATCGAGGGCAAATGTTAAAGGTGACGAACCTGATTACCCGGGATGCGTAGCTACGGACGCCCTGTCGGATACAGGGGATTTGTTTAAACATTGTCTATTATACAATTATAGCAAAGAAGAAGATATTTGCGAAGGAGATGCCGTAATGATGATGATGACTAGTTACGAGATATAACGAGTTCTTTATTGCAAGTTCGTGCCAGAGGGCTAATTGGAAACAGACATGGAAAAGAACAATGGATACAGAATGGGGTGAATTTAAGGCTATGATTATGTTAACATGGAGTTCTACTTATACGGTCTGCTTACTTGACTTACTACTTCTACTTTAAAAAACTAACATAACGTTGATATACAGGGTAAAGAGTCGATATGATTCACATAAATGGGAGACATGGTAACTGCTATTCCATTCTTTTACTGGCATACTATTCTAGCAAAGTTACACACTGGTCTACAGTGTAAAATGCATGGGGACAGGGAACATGGAAAAATGACGGCGATGGTGACCAATAAATACGGCACATAACGCGCTTTATTGTTGAAACTAGGATGCAAAAACTTGGCAAATCTCTAACAGCTATCCTTAGTTAACAGAACATTAGAAAAAGGAACACATTTTTTTCACTTCACATTTCACAAACAACATTAATGTGATGCAAACATAACTAAACGCTAAAAATCAAGTATATTTACAGATACTAAAACAAATAAAACTACATTTCGATGAATTGATAACATACTTACGCTACGGATCTAGTATATTTACATGCTTGTACTTGTACATGTAGTTGACTAAGTTAACAGACGGACAATGACACATTAGGGTTTAACGAACGGTGTCCTACCATTTAACTGTTGTCTAAATAGTACACTTTCGTATTACAAACACGACTTCTACCACTAATCAACAGGCTACGAAGCATGTATTTGCACCGATCGTGATATTAAAACACCGCTATTGTTTACTTGACGACGGAGTCTTGTAGACAGTACATTACTAATAGAAAAACAGTAAATACCTTGGCAAAAACATAACACAAGAAAACCAGACAGTACTGGCATTAAAACGATACCACTATCTCTACATACAGGTTGACAGACTTTTGTCGATATGGGTGTTCATGTTGGCAATCTGATGAAAGCTTCTGGTTGATACTCTGACGAAAGCTTCTGTTGCATTTAGGCCATGTTCGGTTTCTCCCCTGTGTGAGTCCTCACGTGTCTCTTTAAACAGCTCAGTCTGGTGAACTTTCTGCCACACTCCTCACATCTGTACGGTTTCTCGCCGGTGTGAGTCCGCACATGTGTCTTTAGATTTGACAGCTGACTAAACTGCTTGCTGCACTCTTCACACTTGTAAGGTTTCTCGCCCGTGTGAATTCTCATGTGTTTCTTAAGATTAGCCAGATCGCTGAACTGCCTGCTGCACTCCTCACACCTGTACGGTTTCTCACCAGTGTGAATTCTAGTGTGCTGCTTCAGATGATACAGTCTGCTGAACTGCATGCTGCACTCCTTGCACATGAACTGTTTTTCACCAGTGTGAGTCTTTATGTGTCTTTTCAGACTACCCAGCCTGCTGAACTGCCTCCCACATTCCTCACATTTGTGCGGCTTCTCACCTGTGTGAGTCCTTATGTGCCTCTTTAGATCTCCCAGATCACTGAACTGTCTACCACACTCTTCACACCTGTACGGTTTCTCACCTTTGTGAGTCCACAAATGTCTATTAAGAGTTGATAACTGAGCAAACTGCTTGCCGCACTCCTCACATCTGTATGGTTTCTCTCCAGTGTGAGTCCGCTTGTGCTTCTTCAGATTACTCAGCGTACTGCACTGCTTGCCGCAGTCATCACACCTGTACGGTTTCTCACCTGTGTGAGTCCGCATGTGTGTCTTCAGATTACTCAGTGTACTAAACTGCTTGCCGCACTCCCCACACCAGTAGGGTTTCTCACCTGTGTGAGTCCGCATGTGCTGCTTCAGATGACTTAGGTAACGAAACTCCTTGCCACACTCGCTACACTTGTGGGTACGCGGAGATTCCTGCTTTCCACCTCCACTTTCTACTTTCTCTTTATTCACATGAGATGCAGCTCTGGCGGCCATGTTACTACTGATCCTGCAGAAGTTAAAATAAATCTTTCATTTAAATAAATATATCAGCTTCAATGGGATCGCGAAATTTATATGGTGTATAACTTCCATACTGACAATTGCACTTAAACGTTTCAGTTACATGTATCGGTTTTAGTTTGTAGAAATTTATAGTTGGGTTTGTGTGGCGTTAAACCTGGTTTCGATCATCGAAAATGATACTGATTCAAAAAGCCAGATTAGCATGAAGAGCCAAGCATGAAATGTTCTTCGTCCGTCGATTTATAAATTAGCCTACAAATATATGCCGCATTGAAGTTACAGATAAAGAAAATACTGGAAAATTCGGCACTTACCAAGATGCACTGACGCTCCAAAGGACTGCACGATGTTTTCACGACGGCACAGATCCTCACGGCTGCAGAGTCAGTACTGACAGAAACAGAGCAGTCAGGGACGCGTTTATATAGGGACTGAGTGGGGGGATAAAACCGGTCCGGTGGGTTTTACTTGATTACGAAACAAAGGAAAGCACCATGCTGATTTGCATTGAGAAGAGTCCGACAACATCGTTCGCAGACAAAAGAGACCGAGTTGGAGACTAACAATAAAGTTTGCGATCAACAAAAACAACAACATATTACGTGTCGCAATTTTTAAAGTAAAATACGTTACATTATCATATCACATACGTTGATTTGCATAGAGATAAATTAGACAACATCCTTGGAGAAAAGATCAATAAAGAACACAACACATTACGTGCTTTGATTTATTGGTGAAACTGATATGCAGAAAGTTAATAAATCTCTAACACCTACAGCTACTTACAGGCCACTTAAAAGCAAACAACATTTAACAAACAACGCTCAAGTGCATCTAGAACTAAGATATATGCTGCTACCTAACTCTAAATTCAAAAGCAAATCAAAGAAAGTTAGTTCTTAGACGTCTAGTTCTAATCAACAGGCTAGGGACCACGCATTGGTAGTTTTATAATTTAGTCATGTAGAGAGTACACTACTGAAAGGAAACAGTAAATAAGAGCTCAGGTCACAAAAATTGATCTACAAACTGACTCACATCATGCTACACTAAGACAACCGGAGACAACTAATTGACAGACGTCAAACGAACGTTGAATCTCTGTCACTATTGTGCAAACACTCCTCCTTCGTATTTTACACTCTACTTGAAGTACTTCTAGATCTAATAACGATACTACGGAGAATACAGCGATCGTGATCGTGACAACTAGAAAACTTGTCTACAGGTTGTCGAAATACTAAAAATACTGCACTCTCGCCTTTTTACACACTACACTGTACTTCCAGCTCTAAGCAAACTATATATACAGGGCATGTGTCGATCGTGATGTAAAATCGTTGTTTTCGTTGCATTTTCACACGTGTTCGGTTTCTCCTGTATGAGTCCGCATGTGCTTCTTTAGATGTGCCAGCTGACTAAACTGCTTGCTGCATTCCTTGCATACGTAGGGTTTCTCACCAGTGTGAGTCCGCATGTGAGTCTTCAAGTTACTTAGCGTACTGAACCGCTTGCCACACTCCTCACATCTGTACAGTTTCTCACCTGTGTGAGTTCTCATGTGCTCCTTTAGACTACCCAGCACACTGAACTGCCTGCCACACTCTCCACATCTGTACGGTTTCTCACCAGTGTGAGTCCGCATGTGTCTCTTTAGATCACTCAGTCGACTAAACTCCTTGCTGCACGCCTCACACCTGTAGGGTTTCTCACCTGTGTGAGTCAGTATGTGTACCTTTAGATTTGACAGCGTACTAAACTGCTTGCTGCACCCCTCACATCTGTAAGGTTTCTCACCTGTGTGAGTCCGCATATGTGTCTGTAGACCTTCCAGCTGACTAAATTGCTTGCCGCACTCTTCACACCTGTACGGTTTCTCGCCGGTATGGGTTCTAATGTGAGTCTTCAGATGATGTAGATGACTGAATTGCACACTGCACTCCTCGCATTTGTACGGTTTCTCACCAGTGTGAGTTTTCGTATGCACCTTCAGACTACTCTGGCTGCTAAACTGTCTGCTGCACTCCTCACATCGGTAAGGTTTCTCACCTGTATGACTATGAGTCCGCATGTGTCTCTTCAGATGACACAGGAAGCGAAACTGCTTGCCGCAGTCGTTACATTCGTGGGAACGCGGAGAATTCTGCTTTCCACGCCCACTCTCTCTCCCTTCTTGTTTCAGGTGTGATTCAGCTCTGGTTGCCATGTTTGTCAAACGGTAACCCTGTAGGAACATTGTAAAGTATAACTTGTCATATATTTCATTGAATTGATAATCTGGAGTACGTGTAGACTCGCACCGGCTATATTGACAAATGCATATGAACATGCCATTACATGCAACTGATCAGGTTCAGTTCATTCAAAACCTAAAACCTAGCATAACATATTCAGAACACGGCATATCCTACAAGGGTACACCACTGTTACAGTAGTATTGTACAAAGCAGGTACACTAGAGAAAAATTCAAACTTACCCAATATCATTCAATATATATGCTCCACACCCGTTATATGAAGCACCTAACACAAAACCTTCCGTCGGTTGATTTGAAATGTAGCCTACAACAAGGTGCCACATGGCAGTACTGATAGCAAGTAAATACAGAAAAAGAAAATAATAGTCAGCACTTACCAAGATGCACGGACGCTCCAAAGTACTGCACGATGTTTTCACGACGACACAGATCCTCACGGCTGCAGAGTCAGTACTGACAGAAACAGAGCAGTCAGGGACGCGTTTATATAGGGACTGAGCGGGTGGATAAAACCGGTCCGCCGGGTTTTACCTGATTAGGAAACTAGAGATAGTATCTTCTTTCATGTGCCGATTTGAAATTCAGACAACATCATGAGATAAAAATACAATCACTTGGACAATAACTGTAAAGACAACAACATTGAAACTAAGATCAAGGGGGCGACTGTCGGCATACGATGGGGATTGTGTCGCTTCGGCAGACTGTGTAATCTTATTTAATGAAAGGTTCATAATAAATGGCCAATCATAGTCTTAAAAATGTACCAAACGCCTCCTTTAACTAAACTGTTTAAGCATTAAAGCTAGCGTTAAGTCCTGAGTCAAAACGACCAGCCATAAATAAAATCGATGTTTTGTAGCTGTTACCTATTTTAAAACAATATAACGTTTCATCAACGACTTTGGAACAATTTTGTCTAGCGCTTCCCAATTTTACAAAGAACGCTCGAAGGCTGTTATTAGCTTCGAATTTCTAAGATTACGCCACACTTCAAGTATCTGGTACCGCGACACTGAGAGTTTAGGTTGTCAACAAACCTCTTACCTGTCTTTCAAAACTGCCCAGAGTTAATACAGAGCCGAAGTAAGATGGAAATCGCCTCAGATTGGAGAGAAATAAATGAAACCACACGCACGTCTCAAAAATGGCGGTTCAGCGTCAGCATAGGTCAAACCAATCGAGGGCAAAGGTCAGAGGTGACAAACCTGATTACCCAGGGTCCTGGATTCTGTTGTTACGGACGCCTTGTCGAATATTGAATTTTTCTGCTATATCAGTTTAAACGATTGTCCATGCTACAGTTAATACAACTATAGTAAAATAGAGAGGAAGAAAACTTAGGAAAAAGATATTTGCGAAGGAGATGCCGTAATGATGATGATGACTAGTTACGAGATATATGTGAACGCACCGTGTTACGTTTGCTGATTTGCATATGAGAAATCAACGTCCTTAGGAAAAGGGTAGAGCATGGAAAATGAAAGCGAAGATGACCAATCAATACGGCACATAACGCGCTTTATTGTTGAAAGTGAGATGCAAAAAGTTGACAAATCTCTAACTCTAAGCTACCTCTACCTTGCAGAATTGCAGTCGAACCAACAAATTACATTTCCATGCATTAATAACTGAATTTATTGTTTCATGTTACATGCGCTGATTTGCATAGGGGCAATTTACACAACATCATGAAAAATATCAATAAAGAAGACAAGTCTTTCCTTTTTTCTATTTATTGGAGAAACTTAGATACAGAAAGTTAACTAATCTCTAACAGCTTCATGTAGATGTAGATGTAGATTCCTTCAGGCCAGGTAGGAATATCTTCCAGTTTGGGCCGCTCTTGGCTTCAGCCGACAGTCAACTCAGGTTGCATGGGATGATCCAGGGCTCTGTAGTTATATACTGCAGGGTGTAGTCTCATATGCTTATCAAATCTGGTTTTGAAACAGTTCACGCTGGGAGCTGTAATCACTTCTTCAGGTAGACTATTCCACCAGGATACCGTTCTTATGGTGAAAAAATAAAGTCTTGTGTTTGTTTTTGCTGGCATCCTGCTTAGTTTCAGCAGGTGAACCAGCATTCTGAAGCACCTGCTACATTCTTCACATTGATACGGTTTCTCACCTGTGTGAGTCCGCATGTGTCTCTTCAGATGACTCAGCTGACTGTAGCTTTTGTCACATTCCTCACATTGATACGGTTTCTCACCTGTGTGCGTCCGCATGTGCTGCTCACGGCAGTTTCAAATACGGCACTTCCGGGTTCTTGGTTTGCGCCTGCGCAGTAAATCCAAGATGGCGGCGCCGCCTGACAACGTAAATATTTACGAGCGTATCTAGGAACATCTTACAGGTTTCTGATTGGTAATAAAGATGTCAATCATGCCCAAATAAGCTGTGTGGTCTGTTTTAGCCCCGCCCACCGCAATAAACAATTCCCGCCGGCAATTTCCCGCTCAAATTACATAAACATTATCGGCCCGTCGTGACAGGGGATACTGCCGGCTTTACTTCTCCGCTCTGATTTTCGGTAAATTTTAGTGCATTTTGCACTTACTTCCCCAGTTTTGCTGCCATACTATTATTTTGATCTCAAAACTACATCAGTTTCTTGTTTCCTTTCAATAGTCTATTCTTCGTATAGCTTTTGTTTTCTCACAAATTACGACACCGGTACTTCGAGTAACTTCGAGTCCCATTACGTCACTGTTGTGACATACGATATTTGTTAGGCCCCCAATTCGTCATTTTTTCTAGCTAGTACTTGATTTATTGCTGCTATCAGAACGCTTCTTGGACTTCTCTTACCTCATCGTAACAAATTGATCATCTATTAATTCCAATCAATAAGTTCTACAGGGATATGTGGGATCATGTCTTCTGGGGGGGGGGTAGTTGATTCACACATTGAGAACAATCAATAGACTGTGTAGATTCTGTGGGGAATTTAATCTGACTAAGGCTGAGAAGGACAAGAAGCTGTCTGCCCTAAACTGTGAGCTGTACGCTCCAAAAATCAAAGAAATTTGGGGAATCGAAGTTGCTCGAGACAGGCCTTACCTTCATCCTAAGTTTTTCTGTCGCAAGTGCAGGTCTCGGTTGTATAACCCTCCCAAATTATCCAGGGCCAAAAGAATCTCTTGGTATCCCCATACTTTTGGGAGTGACTGTGTTCACTGTTCTAAAGTAGAATCACTGAGAAGAGGGGGACGGCGTCCAATAAATAAGTCTTCTGGGAAACCAAAGACTAAGACGTCAGGTATTACAACTGAGAGCTGTGACACACATCCTTCGCCGGCATGTGAACCTGTCACGACAAGTGTGGTTCACGACCCCCCCCTTGTCGTTCACGTTCCGCCAACCCGCAGCCTGGAAAGTGCTGCCATTCTCCCCGGCATCCAGTTCTTGCAACCAGGTGCGGCATTTTCCCCATGTCGCCCTCCCAGCATCCACCTCGCGGCTGCACCTTGCCCTTCCAGTATCCAGCCCGCGGCTGCGGCTTCCCCTTCCAGTATCCAGCCCGCGGCTGCGGCTGCACCTTGCCCTTCCCCTTCCAGTATCCAGCCCGCGGCTGCACCTTCCAGTATCCAGCCCGCGGCTGCGGCTGCACCTTGCCCTTCCCCTTCCAGTATCCAGCCCGCGGCTGCGGCTGCGATCGCCTTCCACGATAACTATCGTGAAAAGGGGACCACCTTCCATCGATACATATCGGAAGGGCGTAGTCGGCCGGTCCTACAGCCGACACCTTCCACGATAGCACAGCGATTCTCATGGATGGTGACATACGCTGGGTCATCAGGCGGGGTCACCGCCCCATGATGACGCTGGAGTGGCAAAAGGTCAGGCAAAAGGTCATCTGATTTTCCACTATGGCGGCTTTCGTTCGAAAATTCTTGCTTGTGTTGCCGAAGAACAACAGTGTCGGCGCCTGAGAACAGTTCTAGTGTGTCAAGAGTAACGCTCGGGCAAAGAGCTGAGTTCAGTGTACGTACGACCGCGCTGTGCGTGATGGGCGGAGCTAAAGAACGTCCGGCAGGTCAGGTCACCCAGCCTGCTCGGCGCATGCAGGCGGGCGTTCTA